GCCTGAAGCCGAATCACGAGACCAACAACTGCAGATCACACAAGGCCTTTGATGTAAATCAATGCTCGATAGCCCATTATCCACTGCTACACATCGGACAAGCAAACGGTCAACAGGTCCTCCAGGATGATAGTCAGTGCTTCGCTACTTACGGGTCACGACAAAATATCGCACTGGATGTACTGCCCTCTCTTAGACGGAGGTTCCGACTTTACGCTTATCGATGAGGCTGTGCAGAGGTTGGGCCTCGTTGAGTATGTCGAAATAGACCCGGACGAACCGAATATCTCGACTGGCAGTATACCCAGTGAGATATGAGATATGAGCGCTATCAGATATATCTTCATTTGGCTGTTGGTGACTTCAACCATGCAAGCACTTTCCCTCTGCTTTCTTTTGGCTTGTCTGATTTGTCTCATTCTCCTACCAGAGGCAGCTCTATACTTGACCGGGTAATCACAAACTATCCCACTTTGTTTTCACTCAAACTAATGGCCCCAGTCGCTACCAGTGATCATTGTGTTCTCCTCTTAAGACCAAAGATATACTTCCGCTCTGCATATCCAACATTCATACAATTCCAAAATCCTGCATACGAAAAACACAAAAGATTATACTAATACAAATACCTACCAGATGACTGACTGTTCATTCGTTTGGAGCAACCTCATCCTCATGCTGTGCTACATAGGCCCAGAATCGGGCAATAAATGAAAATGCCGGCCGATATCCACATTTCGACGCGCACATTTTAAAGACTAAAGGACAGTGTGAACACACATCACTCATTACGCTTACGTCTCAGATTCGCTTGCTTGCAAACTTTGGCTATCTTTGTAGGAAATAATCGATTGTCCTTAATTGACTTCTTCCAAATATCTCTGACGGAGTTCCTGTCGGGTTAGCTGCGAGTTGCCTTTCCAAGCGCAATTCGTTACTTTTTTGTACTTCGCGTCTCGACGGATACAGGACCGAATCACGAATCTTGGGTGTTTATTCTGCATCTTGTATCCGTTGGAACGGGAAGTAAACGAAGTGACGAATCGGACTTAGAAAGGCAACTCGCAGCTAAGCCGACAGGAACTCTGTAAGAGATATTTTTTGAAGAAGTTGATTAGAGACGACCGATTATTTGCTACATTGATGATGACGATGAAACTGTCAATTTCCAACATGGCTTTCGAGTTCATCGTGTGATTTGAATGCTCACTCGCGTTATAATGTTAAAACTGTCCTTCGAACGGATGTAAAATAAAATTGGATTCGATTGATACAAGATTACGGTACGATAACTAACCTCTTTCGACAGGTTGTTTTGACTGTGAGGTGAATAAACAATCAGACCTCGTCGACGATCTTGCGAGTGAATCTGATTGTCCGTACACGGTGCGTGACCTACAGTAATACACACAAGGAGATCAGCCGAATGAAGAGTGCACAGTCGATTTGCCATCTCCAAGAAATCTGGTGCGCTAACTAGTTCCTGAAACGATAGAGCAAAAGGGAAACAGTATCACCGAGGGGACGAGTGGGGGGAGAAAGTGAGTTCGACAAAGAGAAAATTGAATAGACAACTTTTGTTTCATGCTATGAGTAACCTATCGGCGATTCCGAAAAGGGTACATTGCACAAATTGTGACACATAATCTCAATTTCAAGTGTTGAAAAATTCGCGTCAGATATTTACGAAAAAATGTATACGGATCATGAAACCGCAGCCGTCTGAAACTGGAATGCTTCCCTACATCACTAAGAAATCTCTAATCGATACATTACTGGGTGATTGGGATCGGGAAAACGGATGTCCTTCTCAAACATTAAGTTTTCTCTGTTCTTCCGTTCATTGCCCTTCCACCCCCGGTACTGCCACCTAACCCTACTCCCAAATAAAAACGTGACCAGACAGAGTGCGAGAATGATAGACAGACCTTATTTTTCAC